GCGGCTGGAAGGGGATCCACTGTGTAAACCAAATGCTGGATAAGTTGGCTGTTCATTTGCCGGATTAATAAAAAAGACTAAGCCGAAAAGAAAATAAATGAATGAATATCATATGGAAACCCATTTCCGCTACAGGCAAGGAAAAAATCTAACTTTAAAAAGTCAAAATTGCAAGTAAAAAATAGAGCAGTGTAGTCTCGATAAAGTGTTCTTTATAAATATTTTGAGTAGAATTGTTGCATTATATTATGTAATGACCTTCTCTGTGAAGGACAAGTACAAAGAAGCAGTTTTGTTGTCTTGGAAAGCATGCTAATTTCCTTTTTCAAGAACCCCTTTTTCAATTCGTGCTTGCGTAGGCATCTCTATAGGGTTTGGAACGGAGCCTGGGTCTGTCTTAATAGTATAAACTGCTGATTCACTCCCTCTCTAATGCATCTGAGAGTGCAGAAAGACCCTCCGTTGGGTCTGTCACTGGGACGCATGTCTGTTTAATCTGATTTTTTAGCATGTAATTTCATAAAAGCGAGAGTTCAGTGCTTTCCTTCAGAATTTGTCATTGTTTAGTGAATTTTCGACAGCGACTAAAGCACTTTTCAGATGTGATTAGTTTTCTAGTTTGAATTTGGATGTCTTGTCATGTCATTCAAATCGGTTTATATAATCAGTATGGAGTTTATTCGGGGGAGTTATGCATTTCGTAATATTTAATGTTATATTACTAAACCGGTCCTTGATTCTGATTGGTTAAGCTGCTTTTAAAATCACTGTAAATGACTCTGCAAACATTACATCATGGTTACTGTGCTGTATGCCTGTTTGTCATTGCGGGTTTAATTTCTGTATTATGTATTTCAGCTAAAATTATATCATTATTATTTATACATTGAAGTAAGTGTGAGCCTTTTTGATGTTTTATTTGCACTTATGTGAAAATATGTGTGTCCAGAATTTCCAAATATTATTTATAATGTTTCTTTCATGTGCATTTATCATCTTATTTTTACATTATTACTTTTATTAATCCTTTTAAAACTCATTCAGTCCCATCCCTCTCTAGAGAAATAGTCCATTATAGTGAAAATAAACAGCAAAAGAACAGAATATCATAGATTAGAATCAGTTTTTCTGCACTGTGGTATTTTTAACACATGATTTACTCTTGCATCTGCTTCTCTCATAGCATAAGAAAATGTTTTTGTTTTGTTTTGTTTTTTTTAAGTAGGTTTATTGTTTAATTTTTCTAGGGAGAAGATGATAGTTTAATATATTTCTTCAAAAAAGGCATATAAATACCTGTAAATATTTATTTGCTTAATATAATAAGAATTATTGTTATTATTCAGAACACTAATAATAATTATTAAATAAATAAATGAATACAAAAAGTATTATTATTATTATTATTGATAATAATGTTTATTAATTAATTTATTTATTTATTTTAGCTGAAGAGCAAGTAAACAGCAAAAGAACAGAACATCATAGATTAGAATCAGTTTTTCTGCACTGTGGTATTTTTAACTCATGACTTTCTCTTGCATCTGCTTCTCTCATAACATAAGAAAATGTTTGTTTTTTCATTTTTAAGTAGGTTTATTGTTTAATTTTTCTAGGGAGAAGATGATAGTTTAATATATTTCTTTAAAAAAATGTATATAAATACCTTTAAATATTTATTTGCTTAATATAATAATAATTATTGTTATTATTCAGAACACTAATAATAATTATTAAATAAATAAATGAATACAAAAAGTATTATTATTATTGATAATAATATTTATTTATTTATTTATTTATTTATTTATTTATTTATTGTAGCTGAAGGGCAAGTGAGTAAACAGCAAAAGAACAGAATATCATCTGTGATTCTAGTAATATGAATATTATCTCAGCAAACCTATGATGATTAATGTTATTATTATTTTATTATTATTATTATTATTTTATTATTGTTATTATTATTATTTATAACACTAATTAAATACACATATTAAATACACTAACTAAAAACACTTATTAAATAAATAAATACATACACAATTATTATTATTATTATTATTATTATTATTATTGATAATAATAATAATAATAATAATAATAATAATAATAACACTATAATTATTATTATTGATAATCATAATTATTTATTTATTATTTATTTTAGCTGAAGGGCAGCACCGACTTCCAGTTCCCTCCAGCTTTTATTCTTGCTAGAATTGGCAGAAAGCCTCAAAATGCATAATGAAAGGTCACCAGGCAGCACAGCAGGAAATTTAGCTGCGATTACATTTTTTGATCAAGGTCAAAATAAATTAAGTCCTATCTGGATTTTAAATATATTCCCTAGAAAATTAATATAATATCAAACTGCTGTGTCTGTCTTATTTCAGTGGCTGGATAATAAATAGATGCACTGTATGTTTAACAAACAATCCCCATAACCTTAACAGTTTTTTTTGCCCTCAGTCAGAAAGTCGAGTCCCATTGTCTGTGTATGCCCATATGTTCTCACCTCTATCCTCTAGGGATGAAGGAACAAATGCAAAGGTGTGGTAGGGATTTGTAAATTTGTAACAGTCAATGAACGTCTGTCTCACATTAATTAAGCTACAATGATTAGATTTTTTATGCCATTATCACTAAATAAAATGAACTGGCTTTGAATTTCATAATTGCAAATGAAAAGCAGACAAGTCTAAATTAAAGAGATAGTTCACCCCTAAATGAAAAGAAAATCTTCATTTACACAACCTTGACTTGTTCCAAACCAGTTTAAGTTGATCTGTTCTGTTGAAAAAAGAAGATATTTTGAAGAATGTTGAAAACCTCTAAATAGATGGTTTCAGCATCGATATCGCAATGTCAACAATTGAGTTTACATGAGATTTGTGGAGTCATTGCAACGTATAACCATAACAGTGTTAATCTTTATCATTTGCAAGTGTTTTAAAGGCATTTTAAGAAAGCGTAAAGCATTCGGACACAATGTAAAGCATTTGAAACTTTAATGTAGAGAAATTTGACTGATTTATTAATACAATGAAGACTACACAGTGCTATTTGACATTACATTTCTGTATTTAAATACTGTTTGACTCTTAAATATATAAATAACTGCTTATTTGACTTTTTTCTTTGCTCTGTTGTAATTATTGATGCACTTTTATTTTTAGACATGAATCACACAATTACAAAATCAACCCAAATAATCTAAAATAATTATTTTATTTCACAAACCATCTGCTGAAATTGTTTTCATATGGCAAAACTGTATATTCATTCATTCATTCATTCTCTTTTCAGCTTAGTCCCTTTATCAACGTGGGGTCGCCACAGCGGAACGAACCGCCAACTTATCCAGCATACGTTTTACGCCCTTCCAGCCGCAATCCATCACTGGGCAAATGGCAATTTATATCTCAGCAAAACAAAATATTACAATGTCAGATTTGTCTAATATCGTGCAGCCCTACCTCTAACCATTGACTCCCATAGTATTTGTTTTTCCTACTATGGATGTCAACGGTTACTGATTTAAAACATTCTTCAAGACATTTTCTGTTGCTTGAAGCAAGTCAAGAGGAAGTAAATTACATTTCTGGGTGAACTATCCCTTTATAAATATGCAGTTTGGAAATATTCAAATCATATTTTTCAGTACTTGTATATATTACAAATTGCATTCCTCAAGAATTCAGACTCTCTATGGATATAATGTATATTTAAAAAAAAAAAAACTTACCAGCCACTTTATTAGGTACACCACCTTATTAGTACCTGGTTGGACCCCCTTTTGCCTTCAGAACTGCCTTAATTCTTCATGGCATAGATTCAACAAGGTACTGGAAATATTCCTCAGAGATTTTGATCCATATTGACATGATAGCATCACGCAGTTGCTGCAGATTTGTTGGCTGCAGATCAATGTTCTGAGAAAACCTAAAACCTGGTAGACGGTTGCAAACTCAAGAGCAGGGGGCACTTTAGTTCATTTTTGAAGGGCACTTTTAATCCAAGAGAAAAAAAGGACATGTGCGTAATAAAGAGGCCAGTGAGTGTTGATATGTTCATACCCCTGGCTTCTGAGTTAAAGTTTCTTTTATTCAACCAGCAAGTTTTTTTTTAGTTTTTTTTATTGGTGTTTTGTTGATTTGTCCGACCCTGTCAGATTGTCCTACCTCCCATTCAAAAAGTAGGTAGCACAATTTGATGACGCAATATGCTAGCCATCACATTTTGCTACCAGTGTAAATTTTAATGTGAAGTAGTGTGATATGAAGCTGTAACATCGCCCTAACCTACCTAATCTCTAACCCCAACCTCAGAACCCTTCAAATACAGTGTTGGTAGCGTGATCTGATGGATAGGATAAAATGTCAGGACACCTGTTATGACACAGGCATCTCCCAAAAGATAATAAGACGATGTACAAGAGCCATCATTAAAGAAAATGAAAAAAATTATCAGCTTTTATTTACATTTTAACAAAAGTGGCATGTCCAAAATGATGTATTTAAGACCTAATTATGGATTTAATATAAAGACTGTATATTATTTCTGCAATAGGGGTCTTTTCCCCCCTCATCATTACATAATTATTATTTTTTTCATTCTGATGCCATTTCTTCGGCCAAACAAGAAAATCCAGCGATTTAAAGATTTACAGGAGTTTTGCAGGATTACCGCAGACCTGCATCTCTGCCCAGATTTGCAGCTAATCTTGCGCACTGTTTTAATTCGCAAAAAACAGACTTTGTGTCTAAATTAAGACTCAAATGGTGCAAATAAGGACTTGTTAATTGTCTCAGTGATGAGCATTCTTGATTTAGCCACAGAGCACAGTATATTTTTAGTTGTGTAATTAAACTAGTCTCCTCAAGCGGCTTGTGCGGCAGCTCTGGTGGCATGATCTAGTCGTGTCCAAGAGATAATCGTATAGTGTAGACGTCAGGGTTAATCCTCTTTGGAGATGCCGAGGAGATATTCCAGCCACTTCTTATACTTTACACTCCGGCATAGAGTTCATTTGTAGTCATCACCTAAAGAAGAGGTGTTGTCTTTCAAGTGAGGAGCGTTATATCTGGCAACCTTTTTAACCAGGACTAGCAAGATCTACGATTCCGTGACCTGAAGAATCAGAGGTCTCTCATTGGTCAATACTTCAACATTTCACGCTTTTTTGGATTTTGTATTTATTTATTTTTTGGTAATATTTTAAGGAATAAACCACTTTGAGTAGCCTGCGGAAGCTGTGTGGATCGGGACACAGTATGGAAACTCTTTAAAACAGGACTAGCAAGATCTATAATTCGTTAAGCTAAAGAATCAGAGGTTTTTCGGGATGATGTTTTGGCCAAAGACCTCGCAAAAACCTCCCAGTTTTTAGAGTGTTTTTGGTTATATTTTGAGGACAAATTGTGCTCCATGTCCCTTCCCACTTTGAACAGCCTGGGGAAGCTGTGTGGATCGCAACGCAATCTGCCAACCTTTTAACCAGGACAAGCAAAATTCACGATTCCTTGACCTGAAGATTCAGAGGTTTTTCAGGTTGACGTTTTTTGACCTCTCATTGGTCAATTCTTCAACATTTCACCCAAATGTTTTTGATCACAATTTGAGGACTAAAACACTTTAAAAAACCTGTGGAAGCTGTGTGGATCAGGACACAATCTGGCAACCATTAAACCAGGACGAGCAAGATCTAACACTGGTTGACCTGAAGAAACAGAGGTTTTTCAGGTTTGACCTTTTGACTTCTAATTGTTCAATATACTTCAACATTTCACCATTTTTTTAGCGTGTTCTTGGCCACAATTTGAGGACTAAACCACTTTGAATAACCTGCGGACGCTGTGTGGTTGTGGACACAATCTGGCAACCATTTAAAACAGGACGAGCAAGATCTAATACTGGTTGACCTAAAGAATCAGAGGTTTTTCAGGTTGACATTTTGACCTCTCATTAGTCACAACTTCAGCATTTCACCATTTTTTGGAGTGTTTTTGGTAACAATTTGAGGACTAAACCACTTTGAATAACCAGCGGAATCTGTGTGGATTGAAACACAATCGGGCAACCTTTTAAACCAGGAATAACAAGATCTAACATTAATTGACCTGAAGAATCAGAGGTTTTCGGTTTGATGTTTTGGCTAAAGACCTCTCAAAAAACGATTTTTTTAAGTGTTTTTGGTCATATTTTGAGGACTAAACCACTTTGATTAGCCTGGGGATGCTGTGTAGATCAGGACACAATCTGGCAACCTTTTAACCAGGACAAGCAAGATCTAAGGTTGGTTAACCTGAAGAATCGGAGGTTTTTCTGGTTGACGTTTTGATTTCTCAATGGTCAATACTTCAAGATTTGACCATTCTTTCGAGTGTTTTCATTACATTTTGAGGAGTAATAGTGTGCTGTGTCCATGCCGTCCCTTCTCATTTTGAAAGGTCTAAGGAATCTGTGTGGATTGGGACACAATCTGGCAACCTTTTAACCAGGACAATCTTGATCTAAGACTCCTTCCTCTGAAGAATCAGAGGTTTTTCAGGTTGACGTCTCAAAGACCTCCTATTTATTAGGAGTGTTTTTGGTCACATTTCGAGAACTAATCATGCATCAGAGGTTTTTAGCTTGATGTTTTAACTTCTCATGTATCAATTCTTCAAGATTTCACCCTTATTTGCAGTGTTTTTAGTCATATTTTAAGAACTAATCCTGCGCCGTGTTCATGCCATCTCTAACCACTTTGAAAGGTCTAAGGAAGCTTTTGTAGATCAGGATGCAATCTGGCAACCTTTTAACCAGTACTAACAAGATCGATGATTGGTTGACCTGCAGGATCAAAAGTTTTCAGGTTGACATTTTGGCCAAAGACCTCCTATTGTCTGGAGTGTTTTTGGTCACATTTTGATGCTGTCCCTTCCCACTTTGAACAGCCAGGGGAAGCTGTGTAGATCAACACGCAATCTGCCAACATATTAACCAGTACAAGCAAGATCTAAGGTTTGTTGGCCTAAGGAATCAGATGTTTTGACCTCTCATTGGTCAATACTTCAAGATTTGACCATTTTTGGGAGTGTTTTGGTCACATTTTGAGAACTAATCGTGCACTGTGTCCACGTCATCCCTTCCCACATTGAACAGCCTGGGGAAGTTGTGTGGATCGGGACACAATCTGGCAACCTTTTAACCAGGAGTAACAAGATCTAAGACTGGTTGACCCGAAGAATCAGAGGCTTTGGCCAAAGACCTCTTAAGGACTTCCCATTTTATTTTGAAGTGTTTTGGTCATATTTTGAGGACTAATTGTGTGCCGTGTCCATGCCATCTCTTCCGACTTTAAACAGCCTAGGGAAGCTGTGTGGATCAGGGCGCAGTCAGCATGTAAATCGCACTCGCATCAAGCGCGCACACTCCGTCAAGCGCATGTCAGTCATCGAGGACGGACGAGTGGCAGAAGTGCTGTATCTGATCCCCAAACAGTCAGTGAAGCAACAGCTGCCGTTCATCAATCCTGATGATTATTATATGACAGAGAGCCTCACGCCTGGTATGAATATTTAAAGTACTTGACATAAACTGACATCACACACACCTCTTGCTTCTTGCATATTAATATTGCCTGGGTGTCATTTAGGCTTGCTTTTATAGTGATAATGGTGAGCAATGAAATTGTTTTTGAAAAACTTAGTAGTTGTGATGTGTCTTTGTCTCCATTACGGTCTCATTAGTATTCTTATGTTTTCTTATGTAAAGTGTATAAGATATTTTCTTTCTTCTATCTTTACTCAAGCAGAATTGTTTTGCAAAATGATGTACAGTTTATACCATTATTTAAAATTCAGTTAATTTAAATATGTGACCCTTGACCATTTATATATGTGAAATATGTCATAAGTTATGAAAACTGCAATTTATACAACACCTGAAAGCTGTAAAAATGTAAAAAGCTTTCCATTGATGTATATTATTGTTAGCAAAGGACAACATTGGCTAAAATAAAAGTACTTAAAAATCTAGAATATGAGTGTAAAAAAAATTAAATACAGAGGATGTCACCTATAACGTTTTCCAAATTAAGTTCTTAACATTGCATGTTCATTCATTTATTTTCCTTCGGCTTAGTCCCTTATTTATCAGGGGTCGCCACAGCGGAATGAACTGCCAACAATGCATTTTACTAATCTAAAATTATGTTTTGATGTATTTATGAAAGGACAATTACAAATTATTGTCATGGAACAAGATATTTACTTAAAATTCTAATGATATATATATATATATATATATATATATATATATATATATATATATAATTTTATATATTTATAATGTATGTTTATTTATTTATATAATAAAGTTAATTATTTATTTAATTATTATTATTTAAGTAATGGACACTATTCTAATATTTGAGAAAAAAGCATTTTCTCTTATGGTTGAACACTTTTTTTTCTTTTACTCAAGTTAGGGTCTATGCAAATGCACAAAATGTACAATTTGTTTCTGAATATGAATGAGACCATCCCTTCCAAAAAGAAGTTTTATGGCTTGTTGACTTTTTTCCCATTCACTTGAAACGCTTCTGTCATGTTAGCGATGCTCTGTGAATCTCCACTGAGTGTAGATGAGCTAAAGCAGATTATGAAAGTGAATATCTCAGCTGCTAAAAAGGGATTGTGTGCTATTAATGGGATGGAAGTAATTCATTATGCTAATTGAGAGGTCGTGCTCGTCTAGCGCCAGGAAACATCTTGACACAAAAAACGTATGCGTGCATGAGAGGTGGGGGGAAAACATTATGCAATGTATTAATCAGTGCACACATGTCAACAAATAATTGTTTCTGCTTTTTGAAAATGAGCTTTATGCAACTACAAATTTCCACAAGTGTGTTTGACGCAACCAAAAAGGCTTTGCAGAAAGTATTACAAGCAAACCATCAGACAAATCCAGCAGATTTCCTCAATCCAGTGCCTTTTGGTTTTCTGGCATTTGCTTGTAAAATCTTGTTTGGTAAAGATTTGCACAAACCGATCATGGGTGGATGTGGAAAAGTAACTTCATTTGGCTTTTTTTAAAGGGATAGTTCACCCAAAATGTACTCACTATTTACTCACCCTCAAGTGATTCCAAAAATTCACGAGTTTATTTATTTTGTTGAACACAAAAGAAGATATTTTGAAGGAAAATACTAACTATTACTACTACTGCTACTATAATAGGAAAAATATCAAGTCAATAATTTCAGCTTGTCAGGTTCAAGAAATCCTGGAGAACTTTTTTTGAGATTTTAACAGATTTGTGTGTGTTGAGCATCAGTTAAGACAGCGTTAGCACCTGTAAAACTGGATAATTTTGAGCTTTTGTTAGCTAATTTCTTCATTTAGGTTTAAAATCATTATTGGGGCGGGATTATAATCAGTGATGTAGCGCTCATCTGCATGTCCAGAGATGTTTCTCATAATTATTCATTGCTGAGTTTTCTTATCCTATCAGAAGAGCCTGCTTCTTAATTATTCATGACTATTAATTATTCTTGCTATCCACTGTGTCTGCATCCACATTTTCCAACAAGATCCACAGACATGGTTGTCAGTAAAGAACCGCACACACACACACACACACACAAACACACACACACACACACACACACACACACAAAGCACGAATCGCAGAAGTAGTTTTCACCAGTCCTTATTTGCATCTAATACCCCAGTTTGTCACAGGGGCATGAATGAAATGTTCATGAGTTAATGTGAAACTGTGAACTGCAGTTAAAGTCAGGCATCCTGCTGATTTGATTCAGAAGGGCACTTTTTTATCAGACGGCTCACCGGTCAGATATACATCCGCTCTAAAATATCAAGGTGAAAGTCATCATAGCTTACGTAGAATAACCCCAGCTCCTAACCCAAGTTTGAGAATAGATTAACGGCAATATTTTTTATTGCGTGATAAGAGTCTTGTTTGTGTTAATGCAGCACGTTATATATATATATATATATATATATATATATATATATATATATATGTGTGTGTGTGTTTTTCAAGAGTTCACACTTAGCTGATGATTGGTAATAAGCTAGTTTGGCATGCTGTCCCGGGAGAGAGCCCCGAGCTCATGAGAGCCTCGAGCCCGGGGCTCCCTCCCGTTGCAGGGTGAGAGGGGAGTTTGAGCTCGGGTAGATCTCGAGAACCCCCCTCCCTCTTGCTGCGTGAGGGTTGCTAAGGTGATGCGTTGCTGACAGAATTGAATCAAATTTGGTGCTTATTTGGATTAATCAATTTACCTTAGTCTCATGTTTTTGGGAGTGTGGGAGGAAACCGGAGGACCCGGGGAAAACCCACGCAAGCACGGGGAGAACATGAACTCCACACGAAAATGCTGACCGTTTGGGTAGATGCCCGAACCGGAGGCATTTTGCTGTGAGGCTGCAGTGCTAGCCACTGGGCCGCCGTGCTGCCCTGTAGACAAAAGAGGAGGCGAAGGGGTGGAAGGGGGGATTCTTCAAGACGAAGATGACTAAAGGTAAGGTGTTTGGTTATTTATACTTGGTTAGGAGTAGTCTGATTGGTGGTTCGTACATTAGCTTGACTCGGGGCCAGCCGTGTCAATCATAAGCACGTGATCCTCTCGAAATTAGTTTATGAATAAACTTCACAAAGTGAAGCGTGAGTAAATGATAACAGAATTTTCAGTTTTGTGTTATCTTACCCTTTAAGGAGTACATTTTGGACTCTGTAAGTATAATATGCAACTTCTGTGCACATAATAGGCTTAAAATGTTTAAAGTATAATACTGATTCTAAAAATAATATGTTTTCATTGTCGTTATGTAACATTTACACAATGGTTTTTGTTCTTTAGCAAACCTAAAGTTAAAAGTAAATTTAGGTACTCTTGAGATTTATTTTGCTCTGTTTTAATATATTTCTGTCTATGTAGAGCTACAACACAGCCTGTTTTTTTTTTAAATTTATTTATTTTTTCAAATGGCATTATATATTTTACAATCCGTGCCTATTGATTAGGCGAGAGGCGTTTACTTCCTAACATTATCGTGAAGGGCTAAGAGCTTTTCCAGGGTCATCTGAGGAGGGCAGAGACACACCGAGTGCAGAGTCTGTGCTATTGGAAAAGTTAATGGGATGACAAATCAATGAATATGTGCTCTTGTGAAAATAACTATGAATCATATTTTTAGCATTCAACAAATCTTTTTTCGAGTCATTTCGTTCATTTGGTTCAATTTGGCAAAATATTATTAAAATGTTACGAATTGCTTCCAAACAAATCTACAACTAGCCCAAAAGGTTGATTGCACGACAAATAAGTCATGAATACAACACTATAAGAAGGAGAAAATAATAATTCAATGTTTACCTGCTCTTTTGTCTATGAAGGTATTTTTGTCTCTTTGCTCAGCTCACCTCTTCAGGTCCTCAAATGTCAGTGGTTCGTTCATAAAGCCTCTATAATATTCAGGTCTGGACCTTGTGAAGGCCATTTCATGACTGTCTGCGTTTCATTAGCTGGTTTCTTTCTCTAAGGGCTTAGTCACTCTAGGCTATCGGGCCTAGGCATGGTTCAATTTGTTGGCCCTGCATGGCCCAGTTGAAAGAGGTTCAGTTCAAGGCAACTGTACCTAGTGAGAGTATGTCCTAAATTGGATTTCACTGCAATTAGCAAATCATTTTCATGCCGAAAATGAAAACTATTACTATCAAAAGTCCTTTTCAGAAGGCATGGCATAATGAATTAAAACCTATCTGTACTTTACAACACTCACAATTCCATCAATTCAGACAATATTGCTAACAGCACTCAACAGCAGCTCAAACTAGGACAGACAGCTGCTTTTCAACATTGTCTTCAACAATTAAACCAAAATAAATCAAACTCTAACCTAACTTCTATCCTAACAAACCATACAACTTAAAACCGATTGATTCACCTTGGATAAATCCTAATTTAAAATTTATTTTACAAGTATTTACACTTATGACTGGTTTTGTGGTAAAGGGTCACATACATCCATTATACCATCAGTAAAACAACATATTTAATGTCAACATAGGCTCATTCTGAAAACGTAGCCCTATATACATTTCTGGAGAACGCAAGTTATGTAGCCAGAAGTACATATGGCTGCATTTTGTCTTTAAAACATTTAAAACCTTTTCTCGTTTTCCAGCTGACCACTTACCTTCATATGAAAGGCTTTACCATTGTTACCAGTTTGTCCAGTGGCTTGCCTTGTACGTCGGCAGACTTGAGATGCAAAGAGGAGTTAACCACGACAACAGGGTTTAAGTCAGGTGATGAACAGTTCTAGAAAGTGGATAAAGCAAAAGCAGAAGCCAAAAAATAAAATAAACAAGTAAATAACAGGGTGAGAATGTGGTAAACTCACGTGGTAAAAATCAGACGAGGGCTTTTATTTTTCTGTATTGCTTCTTAAAACTGTCGGTTGGATTTAGAGAAGTAGGTGGGCGGGTATGGAACCAGATTAGTCTCAAAAGAAATTCACGCAAAAGACACGATGT